CCTTCTTATCAAGGCAGCTACTGGGCCTCCTCCTGTACAGAAAGAGGCCATGTCATTGCTGGGGATAATAATAATACTTTTGTTTCTTGCCCTTGGGTGGGGGGTCTCCATTAAGGTCCCTGTCCAGTGAGGCTCAACCATGTTTGGCACAGTTGCATTGTGTGGACTCCCTGCTACCACAGAGGTGGCTTAGGGAGTCCCTTTTGGGCACCACATTATCAATCTGGGTAGAAGGGCCCTGAATTGTTTTATAAAGTTGCACATATAATGAATTAAGAATGTATTAACTTTTTCAGGGTATTTTAATTATTTAACGGAAGCAGGCAAACTACATGCTTTACTTGAAGTATGCTAATAAATGTCTTTACCCTTCAGTCTGCATTTAAAAGTAAGTAAATTGTATCTACTGAATTTAAAGAGGGAGTGCTTTAGACCTAGGCCTACTAAAATGCAAACTGAGATTTCTGTTTATTCTGCAAAATTGACAGTACTAATTCTCAGTGGAGCATATTTGCCTTGCTCTTTTTATATGTGTTTATATTTCATTCACAACTTTTACTATGTCTACATGCGCTGATGTATTTTTGGGCACATAAACATTCCTTAAAGCTCTGCTGGGTAAGTTTACTTTATTACTATTCCCATTTTTTGATTCCGTATTTTTAGCATACGCTGTGTCAACAGGAAAATGCAATGAATGTCCACTTTTAGTCTCTATTTGGAGGTGGGGAATGGGGGAGGGGGAGAGAGAATGGTGATAACAATAAATACAACAGCAACATATGAGGGTTGAATGAAAAGTAATGCCTCCACTTCCGTAACTCCTCAACAGATGGCAATACTAGCATGCGGCAGGTACTGGCTTGTTCAGTAGACTCTCCTCTACAGTTCCATTTTGGTGGGAAGCCTTAACATTGAACGGTCATGTTGTTAAAGTGCAAAGTACGGAACCCTGTGTAGATGGTCAGTCAATGCGACTTAAGCAATGTGCAGGCATTGAATTCTTGACAGCAGAAGGTGTCATCCCAAAGGAGATTCATCAGAGAATGCAAGCTGCTTATGGTGATTGTGTTGACGTGAGTACTGTGCATCAGTAGGCAAGTAAGTTTAAAGATGTTGAGGTGGGAACATCTGACTTGCGTGACAAACGAAGAGTTGGACATCCTGTGACAGCAACCATCGAGTTTCACAAGCAAAAGCTTGGCAGATTGATTCAGGACCATCATCGTATTAGTCAGAGAGAAATTTCAAGCATAATCAGCATTTCAAAACAATGTGTGGATCACATTATTGCTTTGCTTGGCTATCGGAAGATCTGTGCATGATGGGTACCCAGGATGCTGACACATGAAATGAAACCGCACAGACTTGAAACTTCAGAGACTGGATCTCACCACCATACGACATCCTCCATACAGTTTGACTTCCATCTGTTCCTGATAATGAAAGATCTGCGGGGACATCATTATGCTTCTGATGAAGACTTTGAGAGAACTGTGAGATGCAGGTTGCGGAAATAGAGTATCGACTTCTTCCATGACGGCTTCCGAAAATATGTTCATAATTGGCAGAAATGTATCCAATTGTCTAGTGATTATGTGAAAAAGCGAATAGTGGTAAAGAAAACATTCTAAGGATTATTTCTGCATTTGATTTATTAAAATATTCCCATCCAAACCCAAGTAATGAAGGTGGAGGCATTATTTTTCATTCCACCCTCGTAACAGGGAAAGCCTGCAAACCAGTATGCGACTATTAGCTCTCACGTCTGAGTACAGTTTGCAATAATGCTAATGTTCAACTTTTGCTTACAATATATTTCTGCCAGAAATTTGTCATTTCTGTCCTTTCCAAGCCATCATAATAATAATAATGATAAAATAATAACTTTATTTATAGACCTCCCTATCTCCCTGAACAGACTCAGGGTGGTTTCCAACAAATATAGCAAATATTCACAAGTCATAGCTGCCTTTAAATGTGTTTATTACATATTATGTAACTTTATGAGAATTTGTGCCTTAATTTGCTTTTATGTTTCTCCTTTCCTCCTTCCCCATCATTTCCACATGTATTGAATCTATTAAATTAAGTATTTGTATTAATACTAATATTACAAGTATACCATATATCACATACACAAATAACCTATAATATAAATTGTGATCAAGCATTTCACTGTTGAAATATGGCTCAGGAAGACTAGGATTCTGATCCCTGTTCAGACACTGAAATCCAAGGTATGACCTTAATAATAATAATAACAAACTTTATTTATACCCCGCCACCATCTCCCCCAATGGGTACTCGGGGCGGCTTACATTAGGCCAAGCCCGAACAACCTTGAGCAAGTACCTCTCTTTTTTAAAAGAATGAAAAGGCAAACCACCTCTGGATAAATTTTGTACAGAAAACTCTATTAATAGGGTTAGTCAAAGTTAGAGCCAACTTGCCGGCACAGAACAACATAACAATATATGAATTATGATGTGTTTATGCACTGGAATATATTTGTAAACCACCTACAAAACCTTTGATGCGATAACTACAATGTATTTATCACCAGCCTACTAACTGCAGATCCCAAAAGATATATGAAAGAGGCTGATTCTGAGATATTGATGTTTTTCATGCGTGAGTTCAATCTATCCAACTTCTACATCAATTAGTAATTTATTTGCATTTTATTGCATGTCTATGCATTTTTGTGTAATTTTTTTTCAACATGGTTTCTCACAGCATTTCTTGCTGGAGACCTGCATTGAAAAATTGGAGAAGTGTAATAATAAAAATATGTTCTTGTTTGTTTATTAGTTGAGAAGGTGTAAATTAAGTTCCTGAGGCTTCCTCCAAATAATATTGGTTCTTCCATTTTGGAGACCTGTACAGTCTATTTTTTTCTCTCACTGTGAAAGCTCCGACATCCTGCTCTAAGAATTCCAAAGCAAGCTAACAAAGCATAAAGGCAAACCGCAGTGTCTACAATAAAGACAGCCTCCATCTGTCTTCATGCCCCACAATGGTAACAGAACAGTGAAGGATAGGTCATAATGCCAGGAGGCTCAATCCTCCATATTTGATCTCTTATGGTCAATAACCTTGGTTACAAGGTAGAAAAATGTACCCTAAATGAGGAAGAATTTGATCTAGGAGAACACCAAAAAATAAAGATAGCTTGAAATGATGGCATATTCCTAATACATTAGTGTTAGACAATGTAACAGAAGCATTTGGCAAGACACAAACCCTGGATATGTTTGGAAGTTTGGAATTAATTTTAGTAAGCCTTGTGTTCTTTCCTTCTCTGTTGGACAACTGCGAGAAGACTAGATGTTTGTATTTCAGTTTAAGATTAACCTTAGTGTAGTTTGTCATTCAAACTTAAAACTGTATTTGATATGAACTTAGTAGTTGAAACAATCCAGGTTTTACAAACTATATCCTGAGATTTGCTTATTTCAAGAAATCTTACCTTAAGCACAGTTTGGCTGGATTGAGTAGTCATAACAAGCTGTGGTCAATCAAAATTAGAAATGAAAGCACCTAATCTTGTCTTCACAGCTGTCCCAGAACACAAGGAGAGAGTGTCAGGCCACTCTGTGATGGATTTGTCATAACTGAAAGGAAGATGTCAGTCACTGTTTAATTTAGTGTGCCTGAGCTTATTCCTCCCTCTCCTTTCACCAACATGTCCAGTCAGAGAAATGGGAAGCATTCGATTCTGTTTTCAGGTACTCTTAAATCCAAATTTGAATTGTGGGGATTTTTAAACAGAGTTGGTGACTAGTCATGATAGCTCATGTTTGTTTAAGTCTACAGCAGGCATGTTTGTCATATTTACTGTGTATACACTACACCAGTGGTTCTCAACCTGTGGGTCCCCAGGTGTTTTGGCCTACAACTCCCAGAAATCCCAGCCAGTTTACCAGCTGTTAGGATTTCTGGGAGCTGAAGACCAAAACATCTTGAGACCCACAGCTAGAGAACCACTGCACTACACAGTAAATGCCACTACTTAATACATTAACGGATGAATGGGAAAAGGTTACTTTCAGAACACGTTATAAAAGATTCCACATTCACTATTGAAATGTAAGCAAATCTAAACAAAATTAAGCACTAAAGAATTTGTCACGCTTACTCAAAAACAGTAATCTTCCCAGCAATTCTGGAATCAAATATCCCTGTTAAGCTTGTTGAGTCAGAAAAATAGGAAAACCTAACAAACACATAATCTCAATGCATGGACACAGTCCCAGAACTACAGATTGACTTCTCAGCACATTAAAATGTCTCTTTTAATGTAAATGATAAAAGAGCAAAACTAGTATCAATGTACATCTGTGAAAAGTACAATTCTGTCCTATGACTCAGCCATTTTTCCTGGACATGTTACAATTTTTATGTATGACTAATATGTTGAATTCTACTTTAATAAAAGATGTTTGGTTTTCCAATGTAATCGGCAAAAAAGTGAAAACAAAGACAAATTTCAAATGGTGCTTGATGAAGAAATGTACACTGTCCAGGGTTTTCAGGAAAAAAATGTCTGATTCAGAAGAATTTTGAAATATTCTCTGTGAAAATCAAGAGGATTTTTGCTTGTTTTTTGCAAGGAACAATTTTTCAGCCAATACATTTTAATTGTAAGCATGTAGGATTGACTTTGTTGATCTTAGCCAATTCGCAGCTTCTTGTTTTTCTTTCATTAAAGTCAGTATTACAAAAATATGTACTTATGCTCTGCCTAATAATTTTTTTCAACATGTTTCCTCCAATTTTACGTTCTTATTCTTAAGAGAAACATGTCTTCTAAGCTTTGCATCACATATAACATTGTAAAACCTCCAAGAAAACAGAGGTTATTAAAACACTTGAGGCAATATCCTCAGATCACACATTTGCCATACAACGCCACTTTTAGGTCTGCCTCACTCTTTTCACTGCTGCTCTCCTTTTATTTTTTGCTTTTCTAACATAACACAAGTTATGCTTCTTACCTTTCTTTCTGCTAAAAGCACGATTCATGATGAGAAATCACTTGGTCCGTGCAATGAAATCTAAAAAACAGAGAGTACAATTAAAGTGGCATTGATTTCAGAAATATGTCGTTTCATAAATCAGATTTATTTTAAGTAGAACAAGAGAAAATCTTTGAAACAGGAACAAATCTATTAAATGGTCGAAGGAGCTGATGTGTTTTAAAAGGAAATTAAAGATGCTATTGCAATACAAAAGAAAGAAATAGGAACATTATGAGCATGTTTGAGAATGTCCGATTAGATTTACTTATGTGTAGGCACGACCCTGTGAAATGGCTTAATGCAGGACCACAGATCTTGTGGTCCTCCAGTTGTTGACAGTTTGACTCTCCATTTGGGCCCTTTCAGCCAAGGTAATGATGAGTAGGGTTGCCACGAGACCTTTATTGTAAGGGTGCATTTACACTATACAATTAATTCACTTTGGTATTATTTTAACTTTTAGCTCAATGTAATGGAATTCTGGGAACTACAGTTTGGTGAAGCCCCAGCACGCTTGGGCAGAGAAGGCTAAATATCTTGTAAAACTACAGTTTCCATGATTTCACAGCATTGAGACATGGCAGTTAGGATTGTATAAAAGTGTATTAATTCTGATGAACCCTAATAGAAACCCTTTATTTGAGCACTGGATAACTTGTTCTTCACAGGGTATGCAGGAGCCCCTTATTATAAGGGAGGGCCCCTATAGGATGTCTGGAAAGAATGAAGCCATCCAGATGACATTGGAATTCAAATCCTAGTAGCTCCTGGCCACCATAGGCAATAGTGAGGAATGTTGAGAGCTTGACTCCAGCAACATTTGCAGAGTCACATAATTCCCAAGTCTGCATTAAATGAGTATTTTCCCCTGCAATGGAATTTGGTTTCAGTTGGATCTTTCTCAGTATTTTCAGTATTTCAACCAAAGGTATTGCACATGACTTAATTGAAATTACCATCTTGGACAATAAATTAAAATAAATACTGAGAGGCACTCCATTCTAGATACTGTGTCAAAGTAATGCAACAGAATAATTTCACAGTAGAATAAAATAATTTTAATGTCGATGCCACATTTATTTCTGTTTTTCCAAATAATCTAAATTTTATTTATATTTGAAACAGCTTAGAATCACTGTGGTTTTTTTAAATGTTTCATTTCAATTAATTCCATAATCATTATTTGAATCTAAATAATGTTGATGTATTACAACTTACAACAAGTGGTAAGCTTGATTTCAACAAAACTGAATATATTGTAATAAGATACAGCTTAGGAAGTGTTGATTTTTCAAATATATATTTAAATAATAGCATTAAAACAACTTTCCATATATCTAAACCATGTGTTATTCTGAAACACTTTGTAAATGCCTGCTGAACTGAAGAGCCATTGTTATTTAAATGTTTTAACTTTGATATGCCACATTTGTAAAGCTTGGGAGTCACATAATAGGAACTGAGTGGCTTAATAGTTTGCACGTCATCTAAGATTAGACTTCTCAAAGGAATGCAATATCCCAGCTTACTAAAGGCCATGAATTCAGCTGACTACAGTCTCAAACTATGTTTATTGTGGAAAATACACAGCATATTTTAGAGGAAAAACAAGGTACTTAAAGGGTACTTTAAAAAAGAGACGAGATCACATATGATGCTCTTTACAACATGTTGTTGAGTCTAAAGTGACTCTAAGATGAATCTGTCATGGAGTTTCCTTGGCAAGCTTTGTTCAGAGGGAGTTTGCCTTTGCCGGTGTCTGACACTGAGAGTGACTTGCCCAAGATCAACCACTGTGTTTCCATGACTGGACATGGATTCGGACCCTGGTCCAACAGTGAAGCCACTCCATCACACCCACTCTTTTTTCTACAACAACACAAATACTAAAGGATGCAATTAAATGGACTTCATAAGTACACACAGTGCCTTGGGCACACAAAAGAATCCCCTCATCTCCTTGCCTTCAAACTGTGCAATGATAGCTTGATCTACTGTGCTTCGCAAAGTGAAGTGCTTAACCGTATAGCTCAGGTTAACAACGTCTGGTACATAAATGGAACTTCTATTAAAGTGTCAGTTAACAGAAAGCACAGCAAAGAAAAGTGAGCTACAGTGGAATTCGCACTTTCTCCAAACAATATTCCCACTCACCCATCCAGTAAACTCCCAGACAACTGTCTCAGTCACCATGTGCCAAATGATTTTCTGTTCTCTCTTCTTGCCCATAACCTGGAACATTGCTATATAGCAGAAGCCCTCAAAGTTTTAAGCAGAAGGCCTGTTCAAGGTCCTTCAGACCATTAGGGACAGAGACAACAGATTATATATACCATGAACTAATTCCTATGGACACCACACATATCTTATTTGTAGTGCAAAAAACTACAATATTTAAAATGAAGAACAATTTTAACCACATAAACTTAAAAGCATTTCAATAGGAAGTGTGGGCCTGCTTTTGGCTGATGAAATAGTCAAGTTAAATAGGATTGTTGTTGTTGTGTATCTTTAAGTTGTTACATACTCAAGGTGATTCTAAGTATCAAGTTTAGAGCGGGGGCTGGGTAAATGACCTTGGAGGGCAGCATTTGGCCCATGGGCCTTGGTTTGGGAACTCCTGCTGTAAAGTAAAGATACAAGTAGCCCAATACATTCAGTGCATACTGGCTATAGTCTTTGGATTGGTTAATAAATCTGAAGGGTTAACACTTTCCGATAGATTGTGTATATGAACACTGATACTGTTATCAATAATGTGATGAGTGTAAATTTTAAGAAACAGTTGCAGTCATATATCATGGTCGCTCTCTCTCTCTCACACACACACACACATACCACCCCAAATAATAATAATAATGAGGAAGTTTTCTGGAAATGTGCATCTTTAAATTGTCCATTTAAAATGACCTCAAGTTTTGGGGTTTGGGAGAGGGTTTTTTAAAATGAAAATTGTAGTTATCTTTAAGAAATTCCGGTTTTATGGTAAAGAAAATGTAGAGTAGTGGAATTATTATTAATGATTAAAAGTATGGATGTATAGCCTGGTAGCAGTTCAAAAACATGCAAATGTGAGTAGATCAATGGGTACCGCTTGGTTTTGACTGGGAGGAAAACACATGGGATAACATATTAAAAGCTGGAAAAAAAGTAGTAACAATACTCTATAATAAACTGGTAAAATGGCTCACGGAAACTGAACAGGTGAAAGTGTGTATGATTAAATGGGCGGAAAATTTGAGAAGGCCCATTCAATTTAGAGAATGGGAACAAATGTGGAATAAAAAGTTGAAATATACTTATGCAATGGATTTAAAGGAAAATTGGTATAAAATGTTCTATAGATGGTATCTTACCCCCAATAAATTAAGTCACATGTATAAAAATGTCTCTGACAAATGTTGGAAGTGTAGTGAACAATCCGGCACATTTTACCACATGTGGTGGACATGCAGAGAAACATCTAAGTTCTGGTCATTAATTCATGAAGAACTACAAAAGATATTCAAGAGGAAGTTTAAAAAGAAGCCGGAATATTATCTACTAGGTTTTACGGACTCAGACTTAAAATTGGATGAGAATGAAGACAAATTACTCACATATTTTACTACGGCAGCAAGGATTATCTTTGCCAAATATTGGAAAAATGAACAGATTCCGACTATGGACGAATGGAGGGAAAAGGTTATAGAAATAAGAGATATGGATGAATTAACTTTTTTGTTGAAGAAAAATACCGGGAAACCGTTAAAGAGAACAGACTGGACTTTTTTCTATGACTATGAAAAGAAAAATATAGAAAAACATTAGAGGTTAAGAAAATATAAGTTAGTTTTAGAAGAAATGAGAGAAGATCCCGAGGCTGGAGTGGAAGTCATTTTAGAATAGTTTAGGTGTGTTTTCTTTTTCCTTTTTTTTTGTTGTTGTTTTTTTTGTTTTTTGTTTTTTGTTTTGTTTTTTGTGCCCCCCCCTTTTTTCCCTTTGATTTTTTCCTTTTTTCCTTTTTGGGGGGGTATTGGGGATTCCTACTTTCCTATCCTCTTTGTTATTGTTCTCCCTCTTTCCTTGTGTTGATGTGCAAAATGTTCAATAAAAATATTTAAAAAAAAATCGGTACCGCTCCGGCAGGAAGGTAACAACACTCCATGTAGTCATGCCAGCCACATGATCTTGGAGGTGTCTATGGACAACGCTGGCTTTTCGGCTTAGAAATGGAGATGCGCACCACACCACAAAGTCAGACATGACTGGACTTAATGTCAGGGGAAAGGCTTTACCTTTATTTATTATTTATTTATTTATTATTTGCACTTGTTAACCGCCACTCTCAGCCCGGGGGCGACTCGTGGCGGTGTACAAAACATAGAACATAGAAAGACAACAGTTTACAATAAATCGAGACCATAACACAACATCTCACGAGTACACAACTAATTAAACTAAAAATCCGCTTCGTCTTGTTTGGGGTCATAACCAGTCTCATAGTCTCATAGTTTACCCTACAGATATATAGTTCTCACCTCTCCCTGTCCACTAATGAGAACACTATTGATTGAGAAAAAAAGCCTTGTGTACCCTGTTTATATGGCATCATGTCTACATTGAATAGCATAGACTTGTATCTTTTTACTATCCATATTTGGAACGGTCCTTTGGTTGCCTGTGCAAACTTTATTTGTATTTGAGATTTCAGACTTACTTATGACCAAATATTCACAACTTCTTTATTTTTAAAATTTATCTGCAAAATGTACAGTTTGTTCTATGTGCATCAGGTGCCTGAAGGATTTAGCTTTTCATTTATTTGGGTGGGGTTACCTTCAGTATGTGGGATAAATAACAAATAATGCTCTAAGGCAGCGTTTCTCAACCTGGGGGTCAGGATCCTGGAGGGATTGGAAGGGGGGTGTCCCAAAGACCATCAGAAAACACATTCTGTTGGTCATGGGGATTCTGTGTGGGAAGTTTGACCCAATTTTATCACTGGTGGGGTTTGGAATGCTCTTTGATTGTAGGTGAACTATCAATCCCAGCAA